TTATTCAGCTTGGAGGGTCACATCCTTTAAACTCTGGGTAGATACTATATGGGACGTGGGTGGCACTGTGGTCTAAACCACTGAGCCTAGGGCTTGCCAATCAGAAGGTCGGCGGTTCGAATCCCTGCAACAGGGTGAGCTCACGTTGCTCAGGCCCAGCTCCTGCCAACCTAGCAGTTCAAAAGCACGTCAAAGTGCAAGTAGATAAATAGGTAAGGCATCTCTGGAGGAAAGGTAAACGCCGTTTCCGTGTGCTGCTCTGGTTTCGCCAGAAGCATCTTAGTCATGCTGGCCACATGACCCAGAAAAACTGTCTGCGGACAAATGTTGGCTCCCTTAGCCAGTAAAGCAAGATGAGCACTGCAACCCCAGAGTCGTTCGCAACTGGACTTAACTGTCAGGGGTCCTTTACCTTTTTAGATACTTTTTGCCCCCTTTTAATATGCTTTTCATTTTAGAAAGTATTTTTTTAAAAAAAAAAGAAAAATGGTCTAAAAACACCAACAGCAAAGCTTTATTACTTCTTAATATGTTTCAAACCTTGGAGGAGCACATCTGTACTATACATTTAAAACATCATCATACCACTCTGAACATTCATGGCCTCCCCCGAAGAATAGCTTGTTAAGGGAGCTGAGCATTGTGAGATCCCTTTTCCCTTTACAAAGTTACAATTCCCAGAGTTCCCTGGAGAGAGAGATTGCTTTTTAAACCAATCAGTTTAACACATAGAAACCATATGGGTGGTGTCCCTTACAAGAGAGTGGGGGTGTCACTTTGTGGTCATACAAATCTGTCTCTAGACTGCTTTTAGAGCATGCAGAATGTTAAGAAGCTGACTTAAAAAAATAAGATATCTATTTCTTGAAATTGAATTTCCCTCAAATCTTTGCAAATGTTATTTTCATAAATGTTCTCAGATACAGAGTGTGTCAAACTATAGTACTGCAATTCACAATAAAATAACAGTGTTTTAAAATAAATACAGTATATTCAAAAGCAGTATTTTGTCTGTAGACAAAGTATGTGGATCAAGATAAAGTGCTTTGATACAGTTCTGATAGACTGAAGTGTAAAAAAGCTGAGGTTGCTCTGGTGTATAAATCATGGCAACCCTGAATCTAGAACTCATCCTTCTGACACACAAAGGAAGATTTAAGCATGTGGTCAAACCAAGCGAGACATATTGATCAAAGGATGCCCAGAAAAATCCTTCATACATGGGAAAAAGGAAAGAAATGGTGGCCACAAATGTTTTCATAACCCTAGAAAGTTGTACAAGCTCAAATTCTAACAAACCCCTTATATCAAAGTATGATTAAATATCAGACAAGGACAGAGGGCTTCTCAAATACCAATAGCATGGCTCTCCTAAGTTCTCCACAAATGGCAGTGGTGGCGGCAGTGGAAAGGGGCTATTTCCTTCAGCCTGGCTTTGCAGAAGAGAGAAGCAGTGCAAGGGACTCTGACTTCTGTGAAAGTCCCACTTAGACCATACCAAGGAACATTTCATTGGATGCCAGCATTGGACACTCACCCACTCTTCTGTTCAAAACAGGAGAGATGTGGAAATAGCTTCTCTCTATAAGGGTGATGACGTGAATGCTTTATTTCCATTTAAGGGAAATGATGGGAGCCATGCTTGCATTTTTTTCCCTGCTCTTTTAGATGTGAAACCCATTTTGTATTCTGTCAATCTTTCATGGCAACCATTTTGTGATTGGCACCCTCAACACTTTCTCAGGATTCCAAATATTGTCCCCACTGGCCCATAAAGGTTGGCAACTGCTGTTTTTATCATTGTGTTGATGTGAGGAGGAAAACATGAAGGAGCTTAACGCTGCTTTTTCACCTCCTCTGTACACACTCCTCTTCTCGGCAACAAATTGAGCATGCGCTACTTACTCTACCTCCAAACACTCGTGTGTGTGTGTGTGTGTTTGGATTGCTTGCAATATATATACTGTGTGTGTGTGTGTGTGTGTGTGTGTGTGTATGCCAGTAAACATAAAAAATGGAACCAATATCCTGAAATAATCAGGGGCTTAGGCAGAAACAGAAATGGAAGCAAGGAAGAAAGTGGAAGTAGGTGGAGTTGAACCACCCCACACAGGAGATGCAAACCCCCACTTGTTCTTAGTTGCAATTTGCTCTGAATTTTCCCCTCCTTTCCAGATTATTGTCAGGTGAAGAAAATCTAGATTAAGGGAAAGAAAAATGTGATAGCAATGATTCCTGGGGTATGTCAAACAGACATAGGACATTTTAAGGGTGGGACAAGAAATTTCTGATCCACTTTAAAGGAAGATATGGAAGGGCCCCATGTCCTGCCTTAAACCTTGGAGAACCAATCCCAGTCAGTGTTGACAATCAATAGTCTTGGCCAGGTATCTTCAACTTTTTCAGACCCAGCACCCACTTTTAACCCATTTGGGGACCCATTTCTTAAACCTTTACCATATATTTGTGTCGTGTTAGCGCTCCTGTTGTGACCCTCCTTGGATCAGGCTGTGACCCACTAATGGGTCCTAACTCACCAGCTGAATACCAGTGGTCTAGACTTAGCAGAAGGCAACAGCCAATGTTCCTAATCCTATAACACAATGATTGATGTTGATGCTATTTCTGTGGTTGATTTTGGTCTGTTTCATTTTGTATCTTTTTTAAAAAAAATGTATGAAATCTTTATATTCTACCGAACAGTCTCCTTCCTTCCTTTGGTCCCCTCACCCTCCACCCACAGGTATTCTGATTTGTAGTCAGTTGAACAGTATTTTCATCTTTGATTTCAATGCTAACAGAATAACAATCCAACAATAATGCAATTCTGAAAATTGATTCCACACACAAAAAGGAATCATTATAAAATGACAGTTCTCTAACAATGCTTCCACTGTAAAGAAAAGCTTTTTGTATTCAATTATGAATATATATATATATATATATATATGTGTAGGTGCAACCAATTTGTTGGCTTCATTTCCTTCAGTCAAAGTAACATAAAATTAATTTTGCTCCAGGGTTCTCGTTGTAGTTAAATTAATTCTTTGGGGGTTTTTTAAGGTAGAAAAATGTAGAAAGGCATTTAAATCCAGCAGGCTTTAAGGGGAAAAAAATCTCTATTAACTTTAATATGAAATTCTTCTTAGGAACTGACAAGCAGTTCATTGATCTATATGTCTCAAGCCACCTACAGAATTACATTTCTAAATTACTAAATATATTTCTCTAGCAGATAAATTCCTAAAGGCCACGTGTATAGCATGAAGCTTTGATAGATTATAGGAGACAAGAAGACCAGCACTAGGAGCCTTGTGGTATCTCCAAAGCCCATGCACTCAACAAAATGCTCCACTGCCAGCAGAAGACTGAGAAATTGTCCTTCCATCTGGAGCACAAGGACCAGGAGCATCATGGTGCCCTCAGTGGTGATACTTCAGCTATGGGAGCAAGTATGGAGGCCAGTGCTCTGTGACTGGTGGTGGCTCACAGGAGGTGTGAGCCAGGGATCAGGGAAGCTTGGCATGGGTAACCAAAGAGGGTTGGCTGCACAACTGTGCCAAGGCTAATCACTTGCCAACAGCCCTTCTCACCCCACAGCGGCCATTACATCTGCAGCTGAGCAGCTTACCACCACTGCATCAGGCAAGAGCCACCTTCTCATTGCAGGTCCTCAGCAGCAACTCTGAGGCAGTGGCAAGGCAGACCCCTTCTCCAACAGTAACATCTGAGTTTGAAGAAGACAGAAATGAAGGAGAGCAGTCAGAGAGGAAGAGCAGAAGCTGAGGCAGCCCATGCCACATCACATCACACCATCAGCATCTACCCCATCAATACTGAAGGAAGCCCTCTTACACCCAACCATTTTTCTTGCAGGAAATCCACTTTGAACCAGGAAGATGTTCCTGTAAATAGTTCTTCTTCTTCTTCAGGCCTCTACCTATTCTCAGTGTCTTACTTGGCATTCATGTTCAATGGGTTAAGCAGTTTTACTAAATACGTATCTGAAGTGATGAATCCACAAGGGGAAAGTGGAGAACAGGTGAAGTACTGGGAGACTGGCGGCAGGCAAATGTCGCCTCCATCTTCAGAAAGAATTAGGGTCTGTGAAGTAAAGGATCCATGCAACTTACTGACTGGTCATCTTGATACCTAGAAAGCTCTAGAGCAGGTCAATAACTTTCCGTCTGTGAGCAATTTAGAAGATAATGTTATGATTACAAAGAGCCAGCTTGGTTTCCCTTTAAAACAAGACAGACTAATCTGAGGAGCTCAGTAGATCAAGAGAAAGCTGTGGATACAGCATATCTTTATTCCTTTCTACAGTTGGGTGGATTTCTGGCTGGTTGGTGGAGTCCTCCTCAACTTGGAAGAGAAGTGGCAAGTGCAGCACAGCAGGGAAATACTGTGGCTTGGAATGTGGATTCCCCACCTCGGCAAGAGGTTGGGCTAAAATGGCCTTTGAGGCTTCAAACGTCTCTCTAATCCCATCCCCATATTTTTCCCAGTAAAATGAGACCAAGAGCATTCGATAGACAAAAGAAAAGCGACACACAAAGAGAGCGCTACGTGTTACACACAGCGTCCAAAGACTGCTGGCAAAGCAGATCAGCGCGGTCTGTTCCGAGTTTTATAAGGCCATGTGACGCCAGAGAACTAAGCCAGCATCCGAGCCGCACGAGGGGTTTCCTAAATAAATCCTCCTTATCGGAAATGCCTCATGCACTGAAGAGGGAAAGCGAGCCAGCGCGGAAACGAGCAATGGGCGCCTTATCGCAGGTCAGCACCTGAGCCAGCAGCGCTTAGGAGCACAATGCACATTAGCCTCCCCTCAGAATATATATAAGGACGTTATCTTCAAAGCTCAAAAACTAGAAAGGATCATCGTGAGAAGCAGCTTTAAGGCAAAGCCCTCTATTTTCGAAGGGGCACAACAAGAGGGGGTGGTTTCCCTTTATTAAACATATGCGTTGTTGTATTAACCGTTCAGCCCGGTCCAGCAGGCTCATTCCGCTCTGCGCATGCACACGGGGCGCCCGTTCGGGTTGCGGCGCACTCTGGCGTACGTTCGGCCGTCCTCGCCTCGTCATAGAGACGCGGGGAAAGACCGGCTTCCGCTGGAGGAGGTTGGGAGTGAAGACATCGGCTCTGCACTACGCATGCCCATGTCGATCCGGAAGTGCTTCTTCTTGGGCGTCTGACACGTAGCGTCTGAGCGAGCGGAGGGGTGAGGGGTCTTCGCGGGGTTGCGGCCGCCAGACGTGCGCGTAGCGAAGGGGGTCTGGTGCCCGGGCCTGAAGGTGAGCTCAGGGGGTCGTCACACCCGCCGCCCGCCCTCTCTTGGCAACCACAGGCGCCGTGGGAAAGGGAGGGGAGAGGCTTTTGGGGGGGGTAGGGATGCTGAGCTGCACTCCGCTTTAAATACACCTCCAGCAGGCAGTTCGTCGAGAGACGTGACCCACAAGCGGCCGTCATCGCCCTCCCCGTTCTCTGTTGTGTAGCACGAAGGTCTGCAGTGCTGATCTCCCCCCCCCCCCCAACTGGGTCTGTTCCTAAAGGCTAGTGGCTTCCAAGCACCCGCATCCCAATTTCATTGATGCCAGAAGTCGGAAGAAATCCCGTTTAAAATAACTGGTTTTAGCGGAGGCAGATAACCTCGCTCAGAACATCCTTTGCAGTAATGTCGTGCAGTTTTGTGTGTAGTGGTGATGGTGGTGGTGGGGGTTTTCCCCTTCGGTTGTCTTTCTTGGATAAATGGAAATGAAAGGGGAGGCATACTGGATAAAACATGGTGGGTGATGGCTACATATGCCCTGGCATATTTCTCAGTGATGGCAGTGTAGAACCTGCCAGGGGGCGGGATCTAGAGTGCTACAAATGCTCTGGGGTATAATTAACAACAAACTGGTTTAAAGAGGTTTTGTTTTAGAGGAGCAGTAGCTAAGTGGTAGAGCATATGCACTGCATGTACATGATTCCATATTCAGATCTAGTTTAAAGGTCCTTGAGAAGCAGGGTTAAACTAGTGTTCCCCAGCCTGGTGTCCAGCATGGCTAATGGGCGCTGTGAAACAGCTGGAGGAGAGCACCACATTGAGAATGGCTGGAGTTGACAGTGCAGAGCCAGATGTGTTAGTAGTCCGACTTGGATACAGAACCTGAGACACTGCCTATACAAAGTTAACATACTCCTAGTATTTCACTTGAAGTTACAAGCATACCATTTTTCAAGAGGTCCTGTATATGCCACTTACTATTTGATTTGGCAGTACAGTAGTATCTTTTTGCACTTAATTGCTTTCTTTTCTAAGAGCCATTTTATATCTGTGATTGATTATAAGAACATGCAGTGCTAGAAACGGAGATATGAAAGCTAGGAGCTAAATGGCACATTAAACTTAGGTTTAATTATGGGTGCAACAACGGAATGTCTAGGCATGCTTTTTTATAACAAGAATACAAAGCTAAAAATGAATGATCTGCAGCTAAAATATTATGTTCATTTTTCACATGGTCTAGTCCTTCCTATGCCCATCCCCCTAATATTCTTAAGAGGGTCTCTTCTCCAGTCTTCAGAGAGTAGCTAGAAGTGGGGAGACAGAAAAAGGTCCCCCTTTCCTTCCACGCTGCAGTTTTAATCTGAAATCTTAGGCCCAGAGCTCAGAAACTGTTTGCGCTAATGAAATTCTCTGTCGCAAAATGCACCTAGAACAATGGGGGTTTCGAACACTGAGAACATGTGCTTTTGTAGTGGTAGGGCTTTGTATTCTGCTTGAAGGAACTTCAAAATTACCAGCTGCATCTTAGGAGTGAAGATATAATTAGTTGAATTGTGTTAACTTTTGAATACATTGAAATGTAATTTATTTTGCAGACAGATTGCAATGTCTGGGTTCGACAACTTCAATACAGATTTCTATCAAACAAGTTACAGCATTGATGATCAAGCACAGTCCTATGGAGGAGACTATGCAGGAGGAACATACAACAAGTAACTTGAGTTTCTTTTATTCATTTAGTAATCATAATAAAAAATGAAAATGAAAAATGTAGAAATTATTTAATTCCTTAAGATAAACATAGGACATTGGTGCCATAAACATAAGCCAGTTTTTATATGCAAGTAGAGTGTTTAAAAGTTGGAAGCTTGTAAACATTCACTGCTACTAATAAAACTACAATGCTCTTTAAATACAGTTTGCTCCAGTTCATAAAAATTCACATTTAGTCCAATACATTTTATACTGTTATAAGTAGCTCATATATAGGGAGCCCTGTTTATGTATCAACTGTTCATTAATAGCAACTCTTGTACATTACTTACCAAAAACTAACTTTGTAAATAAGCCCATCAGTGTTACCAGCCTGCACATTATTCTGCTTACATTTTCTAGCTGGCTGCCATGGACAAGAAGTCTTCTTTTCAGCTATCATTGAAATGCAAGCTACTACATAAGCCTTTAGTTTTTTAGTGGATTGGTTTTAAAAAAAGGAAAGCGGGGGGGAAGGGGAGTCTACAGCCAAGCAGAGGAAGAGACTTTTGTTTTATTGTGGCTAACACAGAAACCAAGGGAAAAGGGGACTTGGCAATCTTGCCCTCTTCCACCAACCTACACTCACCTGCATGGAATTTCTCGTTGCCTGTGGCAGCCTGGCAGCCAGTCATTTTATTCAGTGCAAGCCTGTCTTACAAGGTTTAAAGGGCAGTGAGCCTTAAAATGAATAAATACAATGCATCACTTAGAATGTCTTCTTAGAACCCGATTCTGAATAGGTTCTGCATTCTTGTCTGTGAAGAAGCTTGCTTAGAAATTAGGGGAAAGTACAAATACAAACAACCAACCCAGAAAGCCAGTTGTGGTGGTTTGTGTCATAATGGGTACCAGGTCATTGTGCATGTCACAGGTGTTAAAACAAATCCTACTATCCACATGGTTCATTCAACTCTTTAGAATAGGAGAGTAAGGTGACTTAGATTAGGTCCTCATTTAAGGTCCGGAAATATGTTGGACTACATTAAGGAACTTGTAACCAAGCCTTGACAACAATCTTAGTAATATAATCTGAGTATGCAGTTGGATTTGTCTGGAAGTGATCATTGAAGGGGATGGGGGCAAGGAGAGAAATTGTCAGGAACATTTGACAGGCAAGCACTGTACAAATGATGGCTTAAAAAAAGAAAACAAGGTGTTAATAGGACTGATAGTTGTGAGGCATTCCAAACCATTGAATTCCAGATAAACAGTGGTAGAGTTCTTTCTGCTTCTCCTTTACATGTTGTCAGAATATATTTGTATAGCCATCTTCCAGAAATTATGTTCCAAGAATTCATGTCTGCAGTGTTGTATTCACTGATATTGTATAAAGGTAAAGGTACCCCTGACAGTTAGGTCCAGTCGCGGACGGCTCTGGGGTTGCGCGCTCATCTCGCTTTATTGGCCGAGGGAGCCGGCGTACAGCTTCCAGGTCATGTGGCCAGCATGACTAAGCCGCTTCTGGCGAAACCAGAGCAGCGCACGGAAACGCTGTTTACCTTCCCGACCTATTTATCTACTTGCACTTTGACATGGTTTCGAACTGCTAGGTGGGCAGGAGCAGGGACCGAGCAACGGGAGCTCACCCTGTTGCGGGGATTTGAACCGTCAACCTTCCGATCGGCAAGCCCTAGGCTCAGTGGTTTAGACCACAGCGCCACCCGCGTCCTTGATATTGTATAGGGAACGTTTATATGGAAGTGTCTCTTGTGGAGTAGGTATATAAGGGCTTTGAAAGAGTTTCTAAAATTCCTGTGTTGTAAGCATTCATCTAATACTATTTTTAAAAATTGCTTTCTGCAGACAGTATGCTGGCTACGACTATTCTCAGCAAGGCGGATACGTCCCTCCAGAGATGATGCAGCCACAACAGCCTTACACTGGCCAGATTTTTCAACCAACGCAAACATACACTCCATCCTCCCCACAGTCCTTCTATGGAAGCAATTTTGAAGATGAGCCACCCTTACTAGAAGGTATGGTTTTTATTTATTGCAAATCTATTTATCTGCTAATATATTTTGGGTATGCTATAAAGGACCACTGACAGCTGATTTCCAAGAGAATACATTCATATATTTTTAAATTTATCTTTACATAGTAAGACAGCTGCTATGGAGTTTTGTTAGCAGTTTCTCTGGTCTCTGGTTTTATTCCATTAACTTGCCTCTTACAAACTGCTCTTGTGTGTTTTAAGTGGAAATTAATTACAGGGCTGAGATAAGGTTGATTATGGCCCTAACACGCCCCCCCCCATCAAACATCTGGGTTTTTTATTTTATTTTAAATATATTTCATAGTGGTGCTATGCTATCTTTTATAACGCATTCATACCTTGCAAATATTTTCCCACAATTAATATTTCTTGTTACAGCATGTCTAATAGCTCCTATCTAGTGATGCTTGTGACTCATTGTGCCAGTCCACAAACATATTACAAATCTCTTGATTTTTTTGCCTCCCTTCTTTCACCCTTACGTAACTTGTAAGCTTTCCAATTTCTGCACATTCAGATACGATTTTTGATTTCCATTCTCTCACAGCAGGTACTTTCAAACTTTTCCCTGCATAGCAGAATTCTGCAGCTGCAACCATATCTAAGAGTTTGTTTGTTTTCTTTTGGGTCACTCCACGCCTTGCAAGTTTATACAGCAATCCATGACTGCTTAAAACAACATGTTTCCACTGATGACAAATGTTAAAATACTGTTCTTTGTTTGATAATGCAGAACTAGGAATCAATTTTGACCACATCTGGCAGAAAACTCTTACAGTATTGCACCCGTTAAAAGCAGCAGATGGCAGCATAATGAATGAAACTGATATGGCAGGGCCCATGGTCTTCTGCCTAGCCTTTGGTGCCACATTATTGCTGGTAAGATGTACGCATATGGGGGTGGAGGGCATCAATCTAAAATACGTTGGGCAAAAACAAAAGTTGCAAGTTAAGGCATTTCTAGTAGGTGTGGTTTCTTATATGTATAAATACATAATGAGGCTGTTTGAAATGCAGAAGAAAAATACAAGAGTAATTTTTGTGTGTGCATACTTTAAAAATATAATAGCTTTACAGAGGCAATGTGGTGAATATGCATGAATGTGAAATATTTTGTTAGGACCTTGTTGGACAAGTTTCAGAGAAGCTAGATCTAGTTACACAGTTCTTCAGATGAAAAAGTGAATTGGGTGGCCTTTTATTTATTAAATTATTTCTATTCTTTTGATCAAAGATTTCATGTAAGTATTTAATTCTCAAAGACCAGCTGAAAAGTTTCTCACCCTCCTTCAGAAAGTGAGCAAGGATAAGAAACTTCTCTAAGAAGAGGATTTAGTAGCTTGTGGGGCTGCTACAGACAAGGACTGGCTCCTGGGGAGACACATCATGAGCTGGGTCTCATATAAACTTCTGCACCTGGAAAAGCCCTTTTATTAATTTACAGAAACTGTACCTCCCCTGCCCCATTACAGTGCTCTGGTGCTTTTTGGTTTGGAAAGATGTGTAGACGACTGACCTGGCTCCTTGTGGTCCACTCACTGTTGGGAGTATTTATCTCTTGCATTGTTACTCATCTGGTGCCTTGGCCCCACCCCACCCGAAAAAACATGCACACACAGTTTTTTCTTGCAACATCTTCCCCATTCATCTTTTTTATAAATAAATAAACAACCTAGAGTTTTAAAAACTATTGTAAACCTAGTAAGTAAAGATACCAAAACAGTAAAGAAAATGATTCTGCCTGTAATCCTTAATTTTCACTGTTAATAAAAAGTAATATTTTATTTTTCTCCCTCTTTGATTTTACTCTATTTTCCCCGTTCTCCAAATAGCTCAGACTAAGGGGTGATTTGAACTTTTGATTTGTATTCTCTCCGTTCTAGGCTGGCAAAATTCAGTTTGGCTATGTGTATGGGATTAGTGCAATCGGATGCTTAGGAATGTTCTGTCTCCTGAATTTAATGAGCATGACGGGCGTTTCGTTTGGCTGTGTTGCCAGTGTGCTAGGATACTGTCTCCTTCCTATGATCATACTTTCCAGCTTTGCAGTTGTATTTTCTCTGCAGTAAGTATTGCCGTCAAATATTATGTTACACTGATATACTGAATGTTACATCTATAAATTCTAGCGGTGGGAAAATCTACAAAAGCAGCTTGTATTAACTTAGGGCTGTTTCATTCACCTTGGACACAAAGAGCCACACCTTGTAGATATTAGGATCAGATCAGGTTCCAGGCAATATGAGCTCACCTTGGAGCTTTGAGGGGGCTTCTAAGATTTTGTTTGCCGTTTGCTATATTTTTGTAAAAGGGGAAAAAGATGCTCCCTGTGAATACAATACACCAGGCAAAGAGGTAAGGGTGTAGTTCTATGACTGACAGCTCTACTTTCCAATCAAGTGATTTACTTTGGTGCCTTTCTCTTCTGGTCATAGTGCTTTTATTTAGGTGGCAATCCTAGCCCATGTCTTGTTGTGACGGGACTTGTTAGAGCACCGCAGCCCACAGTGCCCTACAGAGAGAAAGGGGAGAAATGTCCCTTCACTGTATCAGCTCCCAGGTTGGCACAGTGAAGAGACATGGATTAGGCCAAGCTTCCTCAACCTCGGCCTTCCAGATGTTTTTGGCCTACAACTCCTGTGATCCCTAGCTAGCAGGACCAGTGGTCAGGGTTGATGGGAATTGTAGTCTCAAAACATCTGGAGGGCTGAGGTTGAGGAAGCCTGGATTTGGCTGTTTCTGTCACATGGTGGCGGCAGGATTTGCACGGGATCCGCTGAGCTGGCCCAGTCTCACCCTCTTTCAGGGGGTCCCTCTGGCTGCTACCAGCAAGCTTCCCTGCTGATGGTGGAGCTTCCCCATTGATGTCAGAGCTCCCCGAAAAGCTGAGGCTGGTAGGGCTTGAGCAGAGGGACACCTCCACCTCATCCGCAACCTGTCCAGCATGGCAGATGGGTAGTTTGGATTGCTCTGCTGGGTAAATTTGTATATTGCTTTTCAATTAAAAAAATATATAAGCCACATATTAAATGTATAGTAAAAAAACCCCCACAAAGCACCCCTAATATTCGAAAACAATATTTCAAAATATTACTAAAAGACAAGAGGATCAACACAGCAAAATCAGGTGAAAATCAGGGAGTTCTTCAACTTGGATTAAATTAGTTCCCAAAGGCAGTAGTTAAGATCTACATCTTTAATGCCCATTTAAAATCTGCAAGGGCTGTAACTTATCTGATGACCTGTAGAATTTCATTCCACAATTGTGGGGTCACCACTGAGAATGCCATTGTCCCCGTGTTAGCTGGTCTTTCTTTTATACACAGTTATCTCTGTAGGGCTTCAGCAAGCCTTTCTTTTGGGAGGAACGTAGAAAGACTTCCTTCCTTTCTTCCTTCCTTCCTTCCATTCTTTCTTTACTAGTGGGCGGGCTTAATTGAGTGATATAGTTATATTTTGAAGCCCCAAATACTGGTGGTAGCATGCTTGAGAGTGCTGCTAGATACATTTTTTTATCCTTCCCCAAAATATGCTTATAAGCCATAGTAACTGGAATACCTTTGAAGAATGCACAGGACTGTTTTGACGTGTGCACAGTGATGTGAAACTGTTACCCAACATTGTGTTTAAATCATTTTGTTTTTCAGGGGTATGATGGGAGTTATTCTTGCTGCTGGAATTATTGGATGGTGTAGCTTTTCAGCTTCCAAAATCTTCATTTCAGCCTTGGCAATGGAAGGACAACAACTTTTAGTAGCATATCCCTGTGCTTTATTATATGGAGTCTTTGCCCTCATTTCTGTGTTTTGAGCTGACTTATCCTTATTGTTGGACTTAAATGGGCCAAACTGAAAAAGCATTCACTTTTGAGACACTTAAAACTGGGACCAGAAACCAGCTCTTAGTCACTATCATGCAAGGTTAATGCTTGAATTGTCGTCTGGAGCAACAAAAACAAACGAGCCTTTTGTGTTCCTTTTTATAGGACTCTTGAATACAGTTTTGAACTGTCCTGTAATGTCTATACCTTTAATACAGGTTCATGATTATACTGTTTAAAATGTAACATTTCTTTCCCAGTCCAACAGCCTCTGGCAAAATATTATTATTTTGAAAACTTTTGTAGTTCAGAAGTTTTTATAGATAAGAGGAAATGAAACCATGAACTTTACAGTTGCTTTCCCATGGCAGCATGCAACTACAATCCTAAACAAAAGATATACATTCCCTTTTTTTCTACCAGTTTAGCAAACTAGAAAACTCTCTCAATAAAACCTAATATTGAAGCAAAGCAGAATGAGTCCCACATATAACTTTTGAAGAGTTTACAGCACCAACTTAGATTATATTTTTGTTTACAGTAAATGGTCCAAAAGGCTTTCCAGGCTCAAAGCTACCACATTTATAAATGTTTCAGTTTGTATGTATTTTGTAAATAGCTCTATCATAATTGTATAAATCTGAGAAGATGTTCATTTTCATACTAAGAAATCAAGAGTAGACTTTCAAATGGTTCCCCAAAAACAACCTGTTTCAGAAAGCAGTTTGGATGAATGTTGTCCTACACCAATTAAATTGTCCCCATAATGCTCTTTGAAAGCGTTTCAATTTGACCTTTAACAATATATCTTCCCAGTAATGTTGTCCAGCCTTGACTAACAAAAAAAAAAAGCCTCATTTATTCAAAGGAGGATTTGTTCCCATTGAGCAAATGCTACATTTCAATCACGGTGTGCTTGTATCCAATGTGGTTTATCCAAAGGCATCCCTGCATGAATGGAGCATAGCACAGGGCTTCACCTTCCTCTCCTATTCCCTTGCAGCCTCCATGTGTGCTGTCAAAATCTGCTTCAGAGGTTTGGGGAACCCTTGAGCAGATTTTGGGGTCTGTGGGAGCTGCTGGAGAGGAAGGTGAAGTTGCTCATGCCAAATGTTGGATTGCACCAATGGCGTTTTATAATTAGGCTTCTTAATTGTAAAGCAAGTGTTTGAATCCTGTCCAAAATGACAAAAACAAATACTTTAATTTACACTTCACGTGAAAAACTTGCATGTCTCTGAGAAAGTAATAATTTTGTCATCCTTTGTTGAGAAATGGCTAACAGTATCTCTTAAGTCTTAATTTTGTCATAGTGTTACAGATTTTGAGTATCCCATTGGATAATATTGGCGAACCAGTGTAACTTAACAAATCAGCCTCCTTGTCAGCAAATACCTGGTCATACACTAGGTTTTGCTCCTTTCCATGCCTCTGCACAATTCTCCATGTGATCTGTTTTCATGTAGCCCACAGTTGTTGGCTAAACACTTTAAATAAATGTTGTGCAAGAAATTCAGATAACTTTGCACATTCAAATCTTGGGTATTTGCAAATTAAATTCTGTGCTTTGGCAGTTTTTCCTCTGAAATATATATATATTGATCTTTCATTAGTTCTATTTTAGCAGAGAATGGACGGGACAATTTTTTTTCAGAATTTGACCATGATAGGGGAGCAATCCTCAGATTCATACCCATTCTCCCCACATTGAAAAACAATCTACCTGTGGGTAGCAGGTTCAATGAGATGCATGGTAAAGATACATTTCCGGCATCTTCCACTTATAGCTTAAAATTTGAGTCTCAAATGCCTCAATCTTTCTTGAATTGAACACAGGTCTGCAATGAATGGTTTCAGAGTTCAGTCACCAAATTGTTCCTAATTACATTTTGGGTAACCTATAAAAACTTTTAACTGCAATAGGCAAGCAGCTAATGATGGATTGGAACATTACCTGAGCACAACCTGAGACATAATTTAGGATGGTATAAATCAAGCTGTCTAACCCTTACAGTACTTCTGTAACTTGGAGTTAATTCTTATCCAAAGAAGGACTCAAGGCCTTTCATCTGTTTGCCACACATTCCCACCTGTTGTTGGTTTTTTTAAGTCGGGTGGGTAGCCAATGTGCTTCCCATATACTGCTGTACCTTTAGCTCCCATCATGTCCAGTAGGCATAGTCAAGGATGGCATTTGTAGCACAGAAAAATCTAGAGAACACAACATTGACTACCCCTCCTACAAGATATGTGCAGATATGTGTACTTTCCTTCTCAGAATGCCCAGCATGCTGCTATAACAGCAAGCGAAACTAGTATAAAATGGGGGGAAGTGCACAAAGTGTCTTGTGTCTAACACAAAGGCATTAGAGAGAGGAAAGAGGACATGAGGGCTGCCCTCTCGCTGGAGTAACAACATAGGTAAGTGAGGGGGGAGGTGGGAGCATAGCCTGGCAGGATTCGGATGCCCAGGGCTTGGGTACATGCACTGACGAGTGAGGACTCATGATCTGAGTGTCAAAGTAGATATGACATATGTCACATAGCTTGTCCTTGCCTAGTGTGTGATTTGCTGGCATAGGTCTAAGCCGGACAGGGACCGTGATCTGGGAAAGGACAGCTTTAACCCTTTGCCTCCTCAATGTCTGAATCGGAATTTGACACACACCCACACCAAAAAAAGTTACTGCCCGCAGCCAGAGGGAAGTTGCCATTCAGGGGTGTAGGAAAGGCACAACTGGGAGTTTTAGACGGACAAAATGTCTGCACAAAGGACCGTTTCTGATATCTCACTGCACCTGTAATCCAGTGGAGTCAGTCTAAAATTTCACAAGTTTCAGAGTATTAAGATGAGTTACAGTCTTGGGAAGCTTGGGCTGGTGCTAGAATGGAAGTGAATTTTGAAATGAGCAAAAGAAGGATGAATGTTTATCTCACAAAAAGGAAGGGGCCTAACAATAGCCAAGTGGGCAGTGACAACAGCCTGGTATTTAAACAAGCAAATGGCTTAAATTAGGGAGGGGAAATACACATGCAAGCCCCTTCCTCTATAACCCCCCCCCCAATATTTGCATATTCATCCCAAATATACAAAGAGGCGTTTTAAGCACATTCAGCTGAACACATTGAAAACACCTTGAGTCTCTGTGGTGCATGTGTGGACATCTGAAGTGCATGCCTGGGGACATCAGGGCTGGGGTTTGCATGCCCTGTCACCCTTTCCCATTTAAACCCTTTTGTGTTCTCTCAGATGCCTTCACAGGGTGCCTTATTGAGTCAGGACATGGAGAAAGTGTAGGTTTTACCAGTTCCAAGAGATCCTAGGCCAGTATACAGAAGAAAGTACAACACTCCTGATCTGTCTCAATGTAGGGCGGCAGCAGGAGTTCCAAATTCATTCTTCCCCAACTTGCTAATATTTCCAGGCAGAATGGGAGACTTCTGAGCCAAGGTGATTAGGTAGAGGCCCAAAATGGAAACAACAGGGTATTGTCCAGGAGCTGCCTGCTTGGAAAACCTGATAGACCAGTGGTTTCCACCATAGTTGTTCCTCTTTGTTGACTACAGTCATCATTAGGTTTCACTGCAGCATTTTGTACATCTGTGCATTTAGCATCTAAAAAGAAAAAGCATTTGAACCACAATTATGGGGATAGTGTTAGGACTGGTGGTGATGGAAATGCTTGAAAGTGATCCCTGAAGTCTTCTGGATCCTGTCCATAGTTCCTTGAAATTAATCACAAGGGATTTCATAAGGCTCTTTTATTCATGACACTTGGACATTTCTGCTCATAGCCATCTTTTTAAATCTTAACTATCTTACGTAAAGCATTCTGCCAAAAAAAAAAGAAAAAGAAAAGCCCTGTGTTGCAAAGGAATGCAGAAGAAGCTATTCTAAAAACGTTAATTTCAACTTTTGCTGATTAAGGTTTACCCATGTCCCTTTGATCTTTTAGTCATGCATCATGACAAACCTGATTATAATTTTAAAGAGTACTTTTTAACTAGAAATCGTATATTTTCATTGTATCCTGGTTATCACTGTACATCTGCCCCAGTGCACAAAGTTCTTACTCTGCTTTAATGAGGAACATTATCTGTTCATGGATCACAGTGTCCTGTTTCTGCTCAACTAAATTAAAATGATTACTTTTTCAAATGAGACCTAATTGTATTCCAAACTGTTCTGATAAATATGAACGATCAAATTCTTCTCAGCACATCAAGTTCTAACACTAGGATATTGTATAAGGTTAGTATAGCTCACTTCAATTTTATTTTAAATTTGGACCTTTTATGGCAATTAGCTCTTAATTTTTCAGCTAGCTTGCATGGTGACGGACTAGCTGTTATGAACTTAATTTTCAATGGTGTTAGCTCTCTCTTTTTCACATAGACGTGTTAATGCTTAGGAAAGAAATCTGATACTACTGGCGTTTGAATTTTCTGAAGTTGAATCTTTAGAATACCAATGTGGGTGGTTATTTTTAAAACCTCAACTGAAACATAATACTAGCATTATTATTTTTAAAGCAGCTTTGTTTGTCCATAAAGGGGGGGGGGTTCCACAGTTAGTGAATACTGTTGTGAGGATCAATTAAATTGCAAAATAGCATGCAATAATTTTGACTTCCCCAGAAATCTCTCAGGCACAACATTACACAAAGCTGTAATTTGGAGGACAGAGAACGGGTGTGAAACAGTAGAATTTGGGGGGGGGTTTGGGGGGGGTTGTTTTGGTCATATTAAGATGTTCAGATTGACACATGCATTATAATCATTGCATATAATGGAGTCCGTGTGGTGCAGTGGTTAGAGTGCTGGCCTGGGACTTGAAAGACCAGGGTTCAAATCCTGCCTTGATGCTCACTGGGTGATCTTGGACCAAGTGCCTTCTCTCAGCCTAACTTATCTCACATGGTTACTGTGAGAATAAAATGGGGAGGGATAGAAGTATGAACACCACCCTTGAGCGCTTTGGAGGAAAGGTGGGATTTGAATGTAACAGTAAATGAGCAAATGCATCAGTTCTCAGAAATGTCAGTGGAAGTAAAAATGCAACACAAGCATGGGTGCCACAGAGAAATCTACCTAAAATGAAGATAGAAGCCACTTTCATGTTCAGATTCTAGAACGATGTGACTATAATTTTAGGATTCTATGAATTGTCAAGAGTTGGAAGGGACCACCAGGGTCATCTAGTCCAATCCCTTGCAATGCAAGGAATCTTTCTGCCCAACATGGGGCTTGAACCCACAACTCTGAGATTAAGGGTCTCAAACTCTACCAATTGAGCGATTCAGAAACAAAATATGAATAACCACAAAACCTGTGAGGACAGGTTTAAAAGCAAAATCTGTGCAGTGAAAAGAACTTAGAGCTTTTCCTATGTATAGGCACCCCATGAAGCATACATGTAGCTCTAGCGTACATATTGTCTTTTCTATTCAACTTGATTGCAGTCCCAGCTGGGTAGGGGCATCTGTACATGCAAAGAGTTCCATGTGCACCCTGAAAGGCCCCGGAGGTTTCAAGCAGACCCAGCATTTCAAAAATCTGCAATGTGTAAAGTGATACCTCGGGTTACAAACACCTCAGGTTACAAACACTTCAGGTTACAGACTCCGCTAACCCAGAAGTAGTACCTCGGGTTGAGAACTTTACCTCAGAATGAGAACAGAAATCGTGTGCCAACGCCGTGGCAGCAGCAGGAGGCCCCATTAGCTAAAGTGTCCTGTATCCTAACCCTCCTTATTTACTTCTTATAAACTTCTTATAAACTGTTTCCTTTATGAATAATTATTAAAATTTTTCTAATTACAACTTAAATATCCACTCCAGTGTTGATAATCATTCACATGTAGTTCTATCTCTGGCTTTTTTTGTTCTGCACCATGCAGCTGTGAAGGATGCAAACTAAAGCAGAAGTTTGGTGCACAAGGGATGAGGAAGGATTTTTAAAAGCGATTTCCTCAAACCATTTCACAATTAAAAAATCACATAGCAAGCTGCTTTTTGCCCTGAACAGGGAACTGTACTATATTGTGTTAGTCAAGAATGGATGAGCACTGCTAATTGCCTGGTTTTTCCTTACATGGCTTGGATTTTCATGTTTCTGAGAACCTAATGTAACAATCAGTACTAGTCGGGAATTTTATGTGGTTTATCTCCATGGCTCATGGCATTTGAACAGCTGGCATGAATTTGATATAAAATACATCCCTTATGAATGAACTGTGACCTTGGTACAAGCACCTACATTATCTTCTTCTACATGATTTGGAAAGAACAGCTAGCACTCTGATCCTAATGGTTGCAGAAAAGATCAGAACACTAATCCTTGTATTTGCCAGGAAGGCCTGTTTACTGTTTATCAACCTCCTGTAAGCAGGAACCAGACTCCAAAAAGACAATGAAGATCTTTTTAAAGATAAATTTATAATTCAGGAACTACAGAAATATCAATGTCGTCTTCCCAAAATTAAGGCCCTGTCCTCTTCAAGCTCATCTCACAAAACACAATAGTACACTAGAGGGAACTCATACCAAAGGATGGAGTTCTCTGTTATCCCTTCCCTCAGAACCCCCACCTCTCTTCTCCATAGAAATTAGGTAGAGTCAAAGTACACTTAAAACTTCAAGGTTTTCAATGGTTGGTTAGCTCACAGCTTTCCAATAATTATTTCTAGAAAAAAGCCCATGGCTCCCTCACGAATGTTTGCAACAGCAGGGAGCACAAATAGGCAAGAGGCAAGAATTTTTGGGTGGCCATGATTCCTTCAAGAATTGTGGGGTATGGTTCAACCATGGAAACAGGACAGTTATGTCTAGAGCAGACATGCCCAACCTTCAGCCTTCCAGATGTTTTGGACTACAATTCCCATCATCCCTGACCACTGGTCCTCTTAGCTAGGGATGATGGGAGTTGTAGTCCCAAAACAGCTGGGGATGCCTAGTCTAGAAGGCTGCTTTCCATAAGGCTGATCAAGCTGTGCTCTCTGCCATACAGAGAAATGGGATGCCAAAGTGAGTTCACGTTTATTTTAATAACAGACTTTCCATTACAGATCCAGCAACAAACATTCCTGTGGGCTTGCTACACGAAGGCCAGATGATGAAAATAGTCTGAGGATCTCATTGTGTATGATTCCCTCAAAGAGTCCTGGGAGCTATGGTTCATTAAGGGCGCTAGGAATTGTAGCTCTGTGAAGGGTAAACCACAGTTCTGAGGAATGAATGAATGAATCTTTATTTGTGTCAGCCATCGGCCATAGCAATAAAACAACAATACAATACAAAGAATAGAAATGAAAAGTCAATTATATAAAATATATTTTAGGGTTTTGAATCAATAGTCTGTTAGTGGATCTTATTCTGATTGCCCCAGCTAAAATCCTTGCAACCTTTGCTGTCACCTGCTCATCTTGATCTGCCAAGAGAAAGGACACTGTGGCAGTGGTTGGGCGACCCGGAATGGACAATAAAAGAGGGGTAATAATCTCATTCCTTTAGTCTTTATAAAGAGTGCAAGCCAGAAGGCCATGCACCACCGATTCGGTACTGCCATCTCCACAGGGACATGAGCGTTTTCCATGTGGAATCTGTTGGAATCGTCCCTCAAGTGCAGCTGAGGGCAATACATTCAATCTTGCAAGTAAAAGCATGTCTGATCAGCATTTTCAGGATATTGCCAGAGAGAACAGTTCTGAGGATTCTTTGGGGAAGACCATTTGCTTTAAATGTGCACTAGATGTGCTTTAAATGTATGGTGTGGATGTGACCCTTATCTTCAGACACAAATATAACTTTTCACCCTTTGAGGGATATATTTTGACTTGGCAGTAGGGAGCACTGTCCCACCTCATGTTTATTTGATCCCATGGGATTATCCTTCAACAGTGCCAACCTTTCTGCCCAATTCTATAGTCCTAATCATTGAATGGCATCTGTTTTAAGCAGTGAAATAGGCTTAGGTACCAGCTATGCATACCAAGAGCAAGATGAGCGCCGCAACCCAGAGTCGTCCGCGACTGGACTTAACTGTCAGGGGTCCTTTACCTTTTATGCACACCAAAGGCACAAATCTATCTGCTTAAAAAGAAATAATTCTATTTCATGTTCAACCCTTTACAAAACCATCTAGTTTGATTTACTTCACTTCGCAGTTCAGTTTAAGTTCAGCTAGGGTTGCCATATTTTGAAGAGCAAAAAAGAGAATGTCCTGACGACTCTCATTTTAAAAAGCCCTACTATATGTAGTAGGGCGGTTCATAAAAAACTTTTTTTCTTTAATGCCTGCTCCAAAGGTCATATCTTACTACACTAGGGATTATATAGCTATATCTGAAATTTCATGCATATCAGTTAATATCTTGACACTGCTCCACTGAATTGAAATTTCAGCCTTCATGACATAGGAAAACGGCCAAGTAAACAGCTATTTCCATGGAGGAGGGTCAAGATATTAACTGATATGCATGAAATTTCAGATATAGCTATATAATCCCTAGTGTAGTGAGGTAAGACATTTGGAGCAGGCATTTTTTAAAAAAAAGTTTTTTATGAACTGCCCTAATATGTAGGCTATAGAAGCTGTGATATATTGCTGAAGGGGGCAGGAAAAAAGAAGCGGAAAGCAAGTCTTTAACCACCAATTATGTCTATGTCTCATCTGGAAAGTATAGCCGGAGACATTTTCACAAATTTAAAAAATCCACCCAGACAGAAATTTTACCCCTGAAATAGAGGACATGTCCTGGAAAAAGAGGACACGTGGCAACCCTAGAAATGAGCCTTGGCAAAAAAATTCCTAGCATTCAGAATGTTGCATGGCACCATGTTGAAATATAAAGATTTTTTTGAAGACTAAGAAAACATCAAAACACACACATAGTGGAATGCAAAGTGTGTGTGTGTGTGTGTGTGTGTGTGTGTGTGTGTGTATCTTTAAGCGTAAAGCCCAAAGTAGCATTCAGATGTAGTTAAGAGCTTTTTGAACTAATTCAGTGAACTTGCTTAAACCAAACTAGTTCATTCCAAGTACTGGCTTTATCCTATGGTTTCTCCATGTTATGCCTCAAAGTGCACAAGCGAAAGTCAGCAAAGGTTAGATATAATCTTAAACCTCAATAAGTAGTTTATGAAAAAAAGCATTTTGCAGTGTTTACATTTTTACTTGTGTCATGTTCTAGTTCTCCACTGGGTGGGCCTATAGCATATGTCACAGAGTCTACTTTACAATTTACTCATTCACAGCTAAATCCAAAGCTGCCACAGCCGATACTTAGAAAAGATTTATATTCTTCTTTCATCCTAAATTCTATCCAGAGGAATTCACCAAGCGAGTTGCTAAATTCACCACTTTAGCAATTCAGGCCTCTGTTTCCTGAAAAACACAAGGGATTTGTTTTAATCATGGCCTTTCAAATTAGCACAGATGCTGTTGCAAGCCTGAGTGAGCTGGGTAACCCTGGTGATGGGTGAGAAAGCATTGCTACTTCATGGTATGCTTAACGCTCCAGTTCTGCAGTTTAAGCCAATCCTCTCTCCCTCTCTCTCGTAAAATCAGCTTTTTTTCCATTCCAAAAAGAATTCTCTTGCCTTCCTCCGTTCAAAGTTTTCTTTTCTGCATAATTTCAAAGTTATTCTCATTTTCCTTTGACAGTATTATTAAGAGGGATGGAGGGGTTGTGTTTGGTTTTTGTGGGTAATAATTTTATTTATGTTGAGCTCCCACCCCAACACAAAGAGTTATTACATAAATTTGTGTTAAGCTATCCTTCATGCAGCACTGAGAGCTAGGATTCTCTCACTAAGCCTATGTCAGCCTTTCAGTCCACACCCTAGTCTCTGCTCCTCAACTAGAGTAAATCCTCTTTCCAACACTATAAAAATAAAGAAGCTTCCTCTCCACATATGCTCACAGTCTGATACACACACACACACACACACACACACACACACTAGTGTAGCTTTCTTTTATAGAGCCCATTAGCAAGCACCAAAGAGCATTTGTGACTTGTGTTATTTTCAGTGCATCATGTGCGCTCTGAACAATTTCTCACCTGAGGAATTAGAAGGAGTAACTTACACAAAAGTGAAGAACAGAAATCTTACTTATGTTTTTGCAAGCTTAACATTCAAAAAGGTTGGTAATCAAAAAAGACAGATCTATTCTTTTGTTTTTCACGCTAATGCAGAAACAGTTTCAGCTGCCTGTTGTGGTCACAGCATTCATATCTCCCTCTTTGCTCACGTCACTTCCAACAAGAGAAATCTTTCTTTTTTCGGTAGAAACAAGGACAT